CTATCATTTCTTATCTTTATGCTTTATGATGCACTGCTGTGATTTTGATATGTTATGTATGTGCTCTGTTTAGGATCGTTCCATGTGAGGTACTATTTGATTTGGGGGCTACCCGATCATTTGTCTCTCTTGCGCTTAGCAAGAAGTTTCCTAAGTCTTCAGGAATATTGGATTTCCCTTTAGAGGTAGAGATGGCAGATGACCGATCGGTGCGAGCATCGATGGTATTCCGAGACTGTGTGCTGATATTATTTGAGGAGCGTTATCTGGTTGACCTGGTTCCTATTCCGTTGAGAGGGAACAAGGTGATTATAGGCATGGATTAGTTGAGCCCTAATGGGGTAGTGATAGATTGCGCGCAACAGCTGGTTCGGATCAGGACCCCAAGTGGGGAAGAGTTGGTAGTTCAGGGCAAGAGACCACAGCAAGGACCATCGGTATGTTCAGCTGTGAGAGCTAGGCATTACCTTCAGCAGGGTTGCGCAGGATATGTCGCTTATGTTATGGACACCCGGGAGGCGGGTAAGGCGACAGTGGGTGATGTGCCCGTAGTGCGAGAGTTTACGGATGTATTCCCTGAGGAGTTGCCAAGGATACCTCCGAAGAGGCAGGTGGAGTTTAGGATTGACCTAGTCCCTGGTACGGCTCCGATAGCCAAGGCACCATATCGGTTGGCTCCTCCTGAGATGCAGAAGTTGTCTACAAAACTGCAAGAGCTGTTAGACAATGGATTCATTAGACCGAGTAGCTCTCCATGGGGAGCCCCGATTCTGTTTGTAAGAAAGAAGGACGGGTCATATTGGATGTGTATAGATTACTAGGAGCTGAACAAGGTAACGGTGAAGAACCGGTACCCACTCCCGAGGACTGATGACCTCTTTGACCAGCTACAGGGAGCATCTTGGTTCTCCAAGATTGATCTATGTTCAGGATATCATCAAATGAGGGTCAGAGAGGAGGATGTACAGAAGACTACGTTCCGGACGCGCTATGGCCACTACAAGTTTGTGGTGATGCCCTTTGGGCTCACCAATGCTCCTGACGCGTTCATGGACCTCATGACCCGCATGTGTAGACCGATGTTAGACCGGTCTGTGATAGTGTTTATTGATGATATCTTGGTTTACTCCAAGACGCAGGAGGAGCACGAGGAGAATCTGCGAGAGATTCTGGAGACTTTGAGGAAGGAGAACTTGTATGCTAAGTTCTCCAAGTGTGAGTTCTGGTTGCGCGAGGTGCAGTTCCTTGGGCATCTCGTCAACCAGAACGGGATCTCAGTGGACCCGGCCAAAGTGGAGGCCGTGATTAGATGGGAGGTTCCGAAGTCTCCATCCGAGATTCGGAGTCTCCTAGGATTAGCCGGCTACTATCGGAGATTCATCCAGGATTTCTCCAAATTAGTCGTATCCCTGACTAGGCTAGCAAGGAAGGTCGTGGTCTTTCGTTGGGGGCTGAGCAGCAGGCCACGTTTGAGAAACTGAGACAGAGATTGTGCGAGGCACCAATCTTAGCCCTTCCAGAGGGCATGGAGGATTTTGTTGTGTACTGCGATGCGTTCAACTCAACTTTGGGAGCAATATTGATGCAGAGAGGGCATGTCATCGCCTACACGTCGAGGTAGTTGAAGCCTCACAAGGCGAACTACCCGACGCATGATTTGGAGTTGGGGGCTGTTGTATTTGCCCTCAAGATTTGGTGTCATTACCTCTATAGGGTTTGTTGTACCATCTACACGGACCATAAGAGTTTGAGGTACCTCATGGATCAATCGAATCTCTACATGAGGCAGCATCGGTGGATGGACGTGGTAAAGGATTACGATTGTGAGATCCTTTATCACCTGGGTAAGGCCAATGTGGTGGCCGACGCGCTTTGCCGCAAGGAAGCATCAATCAGGGATATCTGCCTGAGGATGACAGTGGTGACTCCGTTGTTGGAGCGGATTCGGGAGGCCCAGCAGGAGGCCATGAAGGAGGAACATCGGAAGAGCGAGCGGATCGTGGGGCAGGTTTCCTCCTTCGACTATGACAGCCGAGGATTACTGACACTACACCATAGGGTGTGGATGCCATACCATGGGGATGTGCACCAGGTTCTGATGGAGCAGGCGCATAAATCTCGGTTCTCCATTCATCCCAGGGCGACGAAGATGTATAGGGATCTTCGTTTGGACTATTGGTGGCCCTGCATGAAGCGGGATGTGGCATTGTTCGTGGAGCGGTGCTTGACCTGCAAGAAGGTCAAGGTTGAGCATCAGAGACCTCACGGCAAGATGCAGCCATTGGATATTCTGCTGTGGAAATGGGAAGACATAACGATGGATTTTATCACCAAGCTTCCCAGGACCGCGCAGGGAGTGGATTCGATATGGGTCATCGTCGATCGATTGACCAAGAGCGCCCATTTTATCCCGATTCAGGAGAGCATCTCGGCCAATAATTTAACCGACATCTATATCTGGGAGGTGGTGGCACGGCACGGTGTGCCAGTTTCTGTGATTTTAAATAGGGATGTGCAATTCACTTCCAGGTTTTGGAGGAAGTTTCATGACGAGTTGGGTACTCGTCTGCATTTTAGCACCGCCTTTCACCCGCAGACGGATGGTCATTGCGAGCGGACCATCCATACCCTGGAGGATATGCTGCGAGCATGCGTATTAGACTTCGGAGGTAGTTGGGATACCTACCTTCCACTGGGATAGTTCTCCTATAACAATAGTTATCATGTGAGCATTGATCGTCCTCCCTTCGAGATGCTATATGGGAGGAAGTATAGGACCCCGATATGTTGGGGCGAGTTTGGCCAGAGGGTAATGGGGAGCACTGAGGTAGTGCTCAAGACGACAGAGAAGATTCAACAGGTCCGGAGCAGGCTTCAGACTGCTCAGAGTCGGCAGAAAAGCTATGCCGATAAGCGCCGATCAGACCTGGAGTTTCTGGTCGGGGATATGGTTCTCCTGAAGGTGTCGTCATGGAAAGGCGTTATCCGATTCAGGAAGCGGGGCAAGTTAGGCCCTAGGTACATTGGACCGTTCAGGGTTATAGACCGGGTGGGCTAGGTGGCGTATAGGCTAGATTTTCCAGCCGAACTTAGTCAGATACACAACACTTTCCATGTTTCCCAGCTGCGAAAGTGCCTAGTGGACGCCTCAGCAGTGGTACCCTTGGAGGACATTCATGTTGATGACAGCCTGAACTACATTGAGCGACCGGTGGCAATCCTCAACCGGAAGTCGAGGGATTTGAGGAACAAAAGAGTGGAACTCGTGAAGATACAATGGCAACACCAGAAGGGGTCGGAATGGACTTGGGAGCCTGCGGACGAGATGATGGAGTATTACCCCGAGCTGTTTCAAGATCGAGCAGCAGATTTCGAGGACGAAGTCTAAAATAAGTGTCACTACAAGAAAACAACCCTTTAATGACGTGCAAACAATGACACTTGTAGATAGACGACACGCATTTGTAAGTGCCCTAAAAGATAATGTTAGTTTTGCAAAATTTGAAGGATAGAGGGCACGCATTTGTGTGTGCCCTAAAATTAGTGTCAGAAAAGAAAAAATAATGCAAAGGGCTCCTTTCATAAAATGTGCGTCATGTAAATGTGTCGCTTTATAATTCTAAGTGAAACACGTGTTTTAGGCGGGAAATGAAATCGACAAAAATTACCCCCGCCTATTGAATCTCAAAAATTAATCCCCCCGCTTCTTCTACTTAGCAAGAAAAAGCCCTAGGTCCCTTATCTTCATCTTCAGTATCATCAAACATCTCGTTCATCGGATCTCTACTCGATCTCCTTCTTATCAGTATCATCAAACATCTCGTTCATCCTCTACATTATTTCCATCGTTCATCCCTCTCCTCACTGATCAATACCCAAAAAAACCCTAATATCATAACCACTCCTATTTTCTTGCATAACAAATCCCAAAACATCACCAAATACTAAATTCCACAAAATCGTTGTGACCATTTTAGCTAGGGCTTTTTTCAAGAACGAAAACGCTCTCGCATCTCTCGTAGCTCTGAAACAATGGACGATTTACCTTGCTTCGCCTTTGGTCACTTCTCCTCCGGCGACGTCAAGCCTTCCTCATTACAAATAGACCAACGATAAGCTAAGACTTATAAAAGAATCGTTTCACTCTCAATTGGGTGTGCAAGTCCTCCATTGCACTGATGACTACGAACGTGACTCTTCCACCACACCTGTGATTGTGTCCCGTCTGACCTCCCTGGCCGCTACCTTAATAGGTTTATCTATTCAATTAGAATTTTCTTTTCAGTTTGAAATCGATTTCGTCCCCTCCCCAGCTCTTCCTCTCTTCACTAAAATCGTTGTTCATCTATCCACTAAAATCTTCACGGTTTCTTTAATTTCACTCCAAGGGTTATTTGATAGCTCTTGTATGGTTTATTCCCTATACTGAATCGAGAGTCAAAACCATTGTGGTGGTTGTGGCGGAATCAAAATGCGGGATTGAACCATTGTAGCAGAGAGATCTTGAAACTTTTGATTAATACTTCTCAAGTCATCTCCAAGGTAATGTGAACCTCTTGATACTTCTCATGTTGAATCTCTTTTTTTAGTATAGCTATCGTCTTTTAAAATTAGGGCTTCTGTTTGAATAATTTCATTGAACGACAGGTGAATCAGACCGTCTTCTCAATTTATTTGACATTGAAGAACAGTGCTTTGAATTTCTTTGTCATGTCCAATTTATCTCGACCAGATCTCAAAAAGGTTTCGATGTTCATCTCTATTGATGCTCTAACTTTTTTCCTTCAATGGAACTGTGGATTTTTATAAACCCTAGCTTCTACAATAACCCCTCTTTTAACCGAGCTTGGAAAGACCACGTGGCTTTCCACATTTAAGAGTTCTTCCTGAACATGTATTATTATTATTATTATTAAATATTACCCTCTTCATAATCAAATCATGCAATAAAATGAAATTCCTTTTATTAATTTATTTGTTTCTAATAACAGGGTGTTGCAATGCTTGATATTTCTAATTATGGACAAAGAGTTGATCATCATAGAGATATGCATATGGATATCGATCACATGTCTTATGAGGTATACTAAGATTGGTTTCTTTTTTAGTCAAATTAGGAAAATGACCTTTTGTGTATATGCAGGAGCTTCTTGCATTAGGTGAGCAGATTGGGAATGTTGGATCGGGGTTATCAGAGGATTTTATTTCAGGTTATTTGAAAACAAGGGTATTTATGTCTTCTAAGTTGGAAGTTGTTTCATCTGCTAATCAAGAAGTTAGTTTCCGCACAATTTGTCTGGTAAGGGAAAATTCGTAAAAAGTTAGGGAAAGAAAGTCTCATTTCTTGATTTTCTTTAGTAACTCGTCTTTATTCATTAAGTCTAAAGGAAAAACTCTTATTTAGCTTATGGGTTTAAGGGTAAGCGTATGTTTGGTTCGCATGGAATGAAATGATGAAGGAATGGAATCAGTCATTCCATTCTTTCCCTGATTCCATCATACTAATTTAACATATGATTTGTGTTTAACAGATGGAATACAATGATCAAGAAAGAATCGGAATGTTGGATTGCAGTCATGGATACCATGTGGACTGCGTCAAGAAATGGCTAACCGTTAAAAACACATGCCTAAGGGGAAATTAGCAAAAGATGGTAGCTGAGGGGAAATTACCAAAAAAATACCCTGGCTTGTGGGGATTATGGGAATGATGCTGAGTTGTTCACCATTCCAGATGTACACAGTGTCATGGTCAAGAATGCACAAGAAGAACTGTTGCAGTGGTATGCTGAAAATGCCAAAAATAACCCTATGATTATACATGCAGATGAAACGTGTGCAGCTGGTATTATACAAGCAATTGGTCATTTTAAGCTTGGACCAAACACATCACCTAGAGACTTACCCTTACCTGACCTTTTCAAGTTCGATGATTTTGAACCTGCATATGAAGTTGTCAAGTTTTACTTGTTTCTGGAGAGCTGTGATATTGAGAATCCTGAACAATATTTGGAGAATTTGAAAGCAGTTTGTGTACGTTGAGCAACTTCTTCTCTTGTTTTATTTATTTATTTATTGGTATTGGTATTCTTACTCCATTCATGTTTTTTGTGGTATCATTTTTATGCAGTCTTCATTTGGTTCTTAGTTTAGTCCATTTGGTGTTGAGCAATCGCTTCATGAAGTGATTGGTAAGCTAGAACAATGCTATGGGGAGAAAAAAGGGACAAAAATTCGAATTTGGGTTGATCAAGTTTTCCCTTCTCGGCTTGATTCAAACACATGGCTGGTGAAGTTCAAGAAGTTGGAGAAATCTGGTGTGTCATCTTTATCTTGGATTCTTCATTTTTACACTTAGAAAATAAAAAATGAAACATCATCATGGTTTTCTTTATTTGTAGGTGAAGAGCAAATGTGTTGCTTTACCACAGTTATACTGAGTTCAAAGGTAACATTTTTTGATACAATAATTATTGTGATGAAGTGTGGCAATGTTAAATGTTTGTTGTTGGTTGCAGGATGTGAAACTTTCACAAGGGTTGACTTGGGTGCATGTGCACCAAACATGGATGGATGGATCAACGAGTGATAACAAAAATTGGTTTCTTTAAGGTTTTATGCCTCTCCCGCCTTTGACCTATCTTAGATATATATGTTTATCTTTGAAAATAAATGTAGTAAGTTGAATGTTGTATTAACAAGGAATGGTTGTCTAGGCCATAAATACCAAATAATATGATTTCTTCCTTTTTCATGTTCATGCCATGGTAACATACTCTCTTACAAGTTTTAATGTTTATTTAGTATTTCATAAGAAAAATGATCAGTTATAACAATATATTCGTCTAGACCTTGAGTTCTGAGATAACATAGTAAAACATCATTTTTGTAATAAATAAATAAATAAATAAATAAATAACAATCGTTTACAATTTACGCCAACTTTTATACTAGTGAATTGTATAATATCATATTTACCATCATCATTTTTTATGTATAGGCGTAACAAGTGGTGTTGAATTTGAATAATGTTACTTAAAAATCAATGTTAAACAACAATACATATTAAATTGGAGATAGCTATACAACAATACATACATAGTAGTCTAACAATTCCATTCTTTCTTACCTTCTATCTAACATTTTAGCCATGTTTCTTCTTTGTTGCAACTTTCAGTGTTCATTATTGATTTATTATTATTATTATTTTAATTATTCAGATTGATCTGCTAGCTGAGATTAGTCGGTCACCTCGCATTCTTTCGGAAGTTGATGCAGCTATGAAAACTAAGCGAATGAAAAATGATGTGGACAAGTATCTAAAGGTACTTTAAAACTAAAACAAACTATTAACAATTCTGATTCATTTCAGACTCTAATTTAATTTATAATTTTGTTTTGTTATACTTGTATAGACAAGGCCACAAGGGACTTCTTTTCTGTCTAAACTAAAGCAGAAACTTCTTATTTCACCAAGTGAGGCAGCAAGGGAATGAACATGATACAATGTGCCATTAATGAATTCCCTTGTTCTTTATGTTGGAATGCAGGTTTTTTTTTTGGTTAATATATAATTTTTTAAAATCTTAAATAGTTGTTGGTGTGAAGAATGATGATAAGAATTGCATTGAATGTTGAGGCAGGCAATCCAGCAGTTGCAGGCAAGAACGCCACACGGACAATCCATGGCGAGCAATACTTCACTGGCGATCTTCTTGGTGGGAGCTTGAGACAGAAGGGCACTACCTCTTTTTGAAAGAAGTTGCAAATCAGTTGAGATATCCCAATAGCCATACACATTAGTTCTCCTTCATCCTTCTCTACTTGTTCTCAGAATCAAATTACCTCACTTTCAATAATAATGATTATAATAATTATTATTATATGGGTTATAATAATAATAATAATAATAATAATAATAATAATAATAATAATAATAATAAAATGCAGGAGGCGATCCAGGAGCAGATAACGAGAGCTCTTTTAGAGCAGTTGATAGTTAACAAGCCACACCCTTAGGGGCTTCTAATCACCTTCATTGAGATTATCAAGGTAGTTATCAAAAACACTAAGTGTAATATAATATAATATAGTATAATACATAGTGGTTGTTGATTTGTTTTTATATTAATGATTAATGATTAATGATTAATGATGATGTGGCAGAAGCTTTGGAGGTAGTTAGTTTTCTTTTTATAACTTTATGTTACTTTTTTTGCATGTAGTTTACTTTTTGTTAGGGGGTATTATTGTAAAAAGGTACTTGGAGATGTGATAGAGTCTCTAGCTGGGAGATTCTTGTGGATTTTGGATACGATAAGAAGTAGAAACAAGGTGTTCCTTAATAGTAGTGATTGAAGGTGATTTTGGTTCTTGAAATGAGACTCAAGATATCATATTTTTGCATGGCTAGAAGCTTTGGAGGAAACGAGACTCAAGAAAAAGTAAACACACAGAGAGTTGTTTGGCACATAATAAGCTAGATGATGCAATTGTATATAAATGAGTTCATTTTTTATACCATTTACTCACTTTTGGAATAATTATTTGTATTTGACATATTAGTGAAATGAATTATCTTTGTTATTTATGGTATTTTATTTTGTATTATGAGATTTTTAATGTATTATTTAATTTGAAAATTAGTAAATCTATAAATAATATTTTTTTTAAACATTTAAAATTATGATACGCAAAAATTTGTGCCGTCTTTATTTATGACATGGCCTTTCTTGACAGGGGCTTTCTTAATATGCATTGTGTGTCATTAACACGCGCGTCGTAAGGTTACGACATGCGGATGCGTGTTGTCTTCCTTTATGACAGGGCCTTCCTTGTTACGCATTGCGTGTCGTAAACGCGCATCGTAATTGTGCGTCATAATTGCACATCGTCTCTCTTTATGATAGGGCCTTACTTGACACGCATTTGAGTCTCGTCTGAGCCTTTTACGGCGCGCAATGAGCGTCCTAAAAAGCTGTTTTTCTAGTAGTGTGGGGGAGATTTGTAGCACTTGGTTCTTTGTACGTATTCTTTTATTAATTCTTTAAAATGTTTTGCATTTTGGCCGTGGACTCGGCGAGTTGAAGGACCAACTCGCCGAGTAGAAGCGAGATGAGACGTGGGGTTTAAGCAGTGGACTCGATGAGTCGGGTCACGGACTCGACGAGTAGGCCCTGTCTGGACAAAAAAAACCTAACCCAAGGGTTTGCACACTATTTAAACACCTTAACTCAGCCTCCTTCGTCCCATTTGCTCCCAGAAGACACGCATAAAAAACCCTAGCCGTTATTGAAGCAATCTAAGACATTTGGAGTGATTTTGGTGCTTTTGTGATCCAAGGAAGGAAGGAAAAGCTTGAAGGATGAAGATGAGGCTAGAAGGATCCGATTTCGAGCATCATTTGCAGTCTACACAAGGTATAAAGTCTATAACTTGTTTGTTCTTTTGATAGATCCCATTTTGTGGAGTTCTACGACTTTTCTAAGCCATTTTGGTCACCAACCATGATTCCAAGCATGGTTAGGGGTTGATGTTTCAGATCTAGGTCCTTAGACGGGTTACAAGGCAGAAAGGAGTGGCTCTTGCACTCAAAGAAGACCCCATGCATTGAAAGAGCTTGTTTTAGGACCTTTTGAGCTCAAAGTCCCATGCAAGCACATAAAGGTTGTAACTTTACGTGCTAGATCGATTTCAGAAGCATAGATCTATCTTTTGATCAAGGGTTGTACATCAGAAATCGAAGATTTAGTGAGAGGATGTGACCAACTCAACGAGTTCATTCTTGGACTCAGCGAGTCCAACGTTTCTGTCCCATATCATTTGAGGGTCAAAAGGACCCAGTTGAGTGTGGAAAGGTTTTCGGGGGTCCCGGGGAGTGACCCAACGTTCTGGACTAAGCGATTGTTCTGGAAATTCATGGGACTCGGCGAGTGCATGAACAGACTCGGCGAGTCCAAGGCAATCTTCTTAAGGAAGAAGATGAACTCGACGAGTTGTTCATACAACTCAGCGAGTTAAGGACATCACCTGAGTATTAGTTGAAGTTGAAGTAGACGAGTTGTTCGTACAACTCAGCGAGTCAGATGAAGATTCAGTCGATGTTCAATTAGAAGGAAAACTCGTTGAGTTATCGCCTAACTCGACGAGTAGAGACGGGTATAAGGACAAATGGAAGGATAGGGACTCAGCAAGTTGGCAAGCCAACTCGGTGAGTCAGGTCAACTGGAAGTTGACTTTAACTTTGACTTGGTTAGGGGTAAAATGGTCATTTTACCATAAGAACAGTTAGTAGTGTATGACTAAGTGTTTTGTGGGAATTATAGCCGAAGGATTCCTGGAGCAGCAACGACAGCATTCAGAGGATTCCCGCACAGATCAGTAGCTACTACGAGGTGAGTTACCTTCGAGTAGCGGTGGGTCTACGACCACAATGTCGGCCCACTAGTAGGAGTTGTATGTTAGATAATTGTCTTTGTGATATCATCTAGTTTTGCTACTACCTGATATGTTATAAGCCGGCATGATACGTTATATGTGATAGTAGTATAGTTCGGTTGTTAGGACCGAAGGGTAGGTTAGACACCCCAAATATGTCTGGCAGTATGTGATGATATGTTTATATGCTGGTATGATATGTTATATGTGATAGTGGTAGTGGGAGGGGAATAGTCCCCAAGTTCGGCTGTTAGGACTGAAGGGTAGTTCGGACACCCCAGATATGTCTGATACTATGTTTATGTTATGATATATGTGATAGAAGCAGTAGGGTTCGATTAGTCCCCAAGGGTTGGTTGTTAGGACCAACGGGTAGGTCAACACCCTAGAATGGCTCGACATGGGTAGGTCAGCACCCCATAATGGCTTGACATAGGTAGGTTAGCACCCCAGAATGGCTTGACACGGGTAGGTCGGCACCCCAGAATGGTCGTACGGGTAGGTCGGCACCCCAGAATGGCCGTACCGGGTAGGTCGGGCACCCCAAAATTGCCCGGTAGAATGTATGGTATGTGATTGTATGGTATGTGGTACGATGGGGGAACTCACTAAGATTCGTGCTTACAGTTTACAGTTTTGGTTTCAAGTACCTCTTTAGCGAAGGGGGAAGAGTTGGCACGGTAGCGGCACATCATACGCACACTCTTTGTTTTCCGCACTATGAGTTACTACGGGATTTGTACTCTGACATTATTATGTTTTTACGATTTGTTTTTCAGATACGAGACATACTTTTATTAATTGATATGATCCGTTGATATTTTGATACAAATGTTGTGCAAATCACTTAATCAAAAATGAAATTTTTGGTCGTGAAAATTAGGTCATTACACAATCTAATCATCAAATGGAAAAAAACTGAGTTCAATGTTACTATTTACAACATGATCTTTTATGAAATGGTATCTTGTATCAATGTGCTTAGTCATTGAGTGCTGAATTGGATTGTGGGAAATCGCAATGGCACTTTGAGAATCACAATAGATAGGAATGATTGAAAGCAGTAACCATAATCCAAGAGTTGAGATTTCATCCACAGAAACTGAGTTGTACAGTTGGCAGCAATGATGTATTCGGATACGGCTGTAGAGAGTGCAATGTAGTTATGTTTATTGGATGACCAACTGACCAAACGACCACCTAAGAATTGATAGCCAGCTGAAGTGCTTTTTCTATCAAGTTGAAGACCACCATAGTCTGAGTCTGAGTAGGCTTGAAGTAGGAAGCTCTCATTTGCTGGGTACCAGATTCCGAGACTCTTTGTACCTTTGAGGTATCGGAAAATTTGTTTCACAGCCAAGAGATGAGACTTTTTTGGGTTGACTTGAAATCTGGCACACAAACATGTAGAAAACATGATATCCAGACGACTTGTTGTGAGATAGAGCAAGGATCCAATTATTCCACGGTACTTCTTTTCATCAACTTAAACACCTGAAGGGTCAGAAAAGATCTTGTGTCCGAAGCCCATGGGTACCTTGGCTGAGGCACAGGTATCCATTTCTTGAAGAGTTATGCAATGTACTCTTCTTGGTGAATGAAGATTCCACTGTTAGTTTGTTTGACTTGGAAGCCAAGAAAGAAGCTTAACTCCCGATTCATGCTCATTTGGAATCAATTGATCATTAGTTTAGCAAAGTCAGCAACCATGGATGAATCCGTAGATCCAAAAATGATATCATCCACATAAATTTGTTTCGGCATGAGATGTTTAACATATCTAGAATTCCTCTTTCGAAACTGGAGCGCTTCAGAAAATTGGTGAGGGTATCGTACCATGCCCGAGGAGCCAGCTTGAGTCCGTAGACTGCTTTCCGAAGTTTGTAACAGTAGTTTGCAAAGGAAAGATTAAGAAAACTTGGGGGCTGTTGAAGGTATACTTCAGTTTCGAGTTCACCATTAAGAAAAACACTCTTAACATCCATTTGGTAAACTTTTAGGCCTTTGTAGTCAGCATAAGCAAGAAAGATTCTGATGGCTTCAAGACGTGCAACAGGAGTGATGTGTGAGAACTCACTTAGTTTTAAACCTACTTTTAGTTGTAAAATAAACACACAAAGGCAGTGGCCCTATCAATTGTGGTATAGTCAAATAAGTAGGGTATCAAACACAGGGAACGGCAAATTAAAACTAAAAAAATAATTCTATCCAAATTAACTAATAAGTAGAGGATTTTCTCTAGTTTTACAAGACTAGAAACTTACTAAATAATACTTAATCTAAAAACTAGAAATACAAGGAATTAACTAGATTCAATAA